CAATAACTTCGAAACTTTTGGCGATAAGCCTCTGGTACTAACTCGTATGCTTTGAGAATAGCTGCTTTAACCTTATTCGTACAATCTTCTAGAGAGAGAGAGAGCGGCATAAGCTTCTTGTGCTTTACCAGTTAAAACACTTTGTAATAATAATGACCATTTTTCGGTGGGCCATTCCATGGTTTGGGCAACTTTCTCAGATGTTGGAAATATTTATCAACTTCATTTGCATTGAACGGTGGTATTTTAACATATCGATTAAATTCAAAGTTGTCATTTTGTCTTAGTCGATCATTGTTGAATCTAATTTCCATTTCTTTCAGCCTAATTTCTTTTTCGGCTATAGTGCGAGCTTCTTTGGCCCCGAGATGTTTATTTTCACTTTCAGCTTCAATACGAGCTTGTTCTTTCTCTTTCTCGGCTTCGAGACGTTTATTTTCTCTTTAAGCTTCAATACGGGTTTGTTCTTTCTCTTTTTCGGCTTCGATTCGAGCATGTTCAAGCTCGAGTTGTTTCAGTTCTAGCTGGATCTCTAACTTATCTTTATCACTCAACCCCGACTGGCTAGAAGGAACACTAGAGTATTCCTCTAATGCTTCCTCAGGCAACAAATCATCATCGACTAATATTTCGATAATATTCTTTTTTAGTTCATTTTTTATCATTGATCTTTTAACTTCTAGTTTTAAAATGTTGGCAATTTCGAGCAATTCATTTTTGTTATATTTTTCTAGTTGTTCTAGGGAGGGTGATACAAGAAAAATCTTGACAATCAGAGATGATAAAATCTTATTGACACTGATAAATATAAATTCAATTGTGATTTAAATTTTAATTTAGATCGAATTTTGTTTCTGATTCAGATCTCGGATACGAGCTCCTAATTTATTATGTTACGTATTAAAATTTCGAATAGTCCAAAGCCAAGTTAATTGATAATTTAAATTTTGTAGTTAAATTGTACTTTGGGTTTAGTATTTAAATATATGCCGATATATTTGCCAACAAGATTGATACACACCGTCTTCGTTTTTAACACAAATACGTTTTAATATACACACAACAATACAATTTACAGTAACAATTATTACAAATATTACACACAATGATTTAGAAACAAACGTTTCACAAACTTACAAACAATATAAAATATTCTTTCTAGGTTGGAAACTCCTTTGATATTTTATCGAGGGTTTACGATGAGCGAGTTAATTACGAGTTGGTGTAAGTACGATTCGCCGGGAAATTTCCATTATCGACAAATTTCATAGAAACTATAAAACATTTCAAAATTCAACGACTTGAAAGTGAAAAAAACAAAACAATTTATATAGCTGGGACATACATTATTTAGAAGAAACAGACATAGTTAATGATTACCAAAGATATTCCTGGAATATTATAAGTTTAGTCATGTACCGAGAATGTGTAGACATTCTACGGTGGCTGAGCCTTAATTTATCCCATAAAATGCAAATAAAAAAAACCATTTTTATCTGAACAAATTGTGTTTGTTGAAGACTCGAATGATCTTAAAAGACAACGTTTGTTTTATTTTAAATTTGAAGTATATGGTGCATCAATCGGGCATCATTACAAAATGTTTAAGTTTGTTTATGTTTCTGAAGGTTAAAGGTTCGAAAGGCCAAGAACGTACCATAGTAGCATATTAACATGTTCTTAGTATGCTATTTAACGTGTTTCACAATAGTACAAGTTACAAAGAGGTTCTAATGGTTGCTAAGTTACCTTAGCATCCACTGTTAGGTAATAGTTGCCTACATTTTCTGTGCACTATGTGACTTCACAATGAAAATTTCTAATGATGATCATTGTATTAAGTGATTCTCTTAATTTCAGATACTCCATCTTCAAATGAACTTAAAAAGATCGAGTTTCTTTGAAATAAAAGTACTGATCTTTATTCAAAAATGTCTATATCAACTGATTTTTTTAAATATGAAAGTGTTATTCAAATTACATTAAAAACTTTACAGTTACATAACCAACTTGAATTTATGACTTTGTCCACTACTTACTCAATGCAGAGAAACCTAATTATTGAGGTTGTAAAGCTATTATAAACCGACTGTAAGCAAACACCTAAAATATATCACGAGTTCCTTCCCACATTGCCTGAGGAACCATCTCGAATCTATGTCCAAAATTTCAAAGTAGTTTGGTCTGCTGTTCAAATGTTGGAAAACAAATTTCCACTCACCTCGAGACATCATCAGTAATATCATTTTGAAAAAACTTAAGTTCGTTAATGCAATAGTATATTCAAATATATTCACAATGACATGCATATTGTGTTCTTTTTACTGCTATATCTTTGTTTTCTTTTTTATTAAATCTACTTTACGCTGCTATTTAAAATATTTTTAATACAGGATTTCATCCTCAACTACAGGCACCTCGGTGGCAGGAATCGGACGTGAAAAATCCGGGATTTATTTGATTTTGATAGACATTATACAGGATGTAGCATACGATGAGATATGACGATTTAAATCTGGTTTCTAAATCGGACAAAAAATGTCCAAGTTATGACTGGCCACATGATCAACAGAAACTCCATATTCACTGACAGTACTTCTTTTTATGTAACTGTCCGCTAGGTGAACCTTCTTCTTGCTTCTTGCCCTGCCACCCTCACCCCCAAAAAAAACAAAACTATACTTCGCATCTGGTTGAGGGAGAGACCCCGTGTTAAATTTTTGGTAGTATTTCAAGTAGGAATAAGTAACTTGCTTAATCCATTTGTGAGTTTTTTAAAAGCTAATGTCTGGAACTACTACCTCAGTTAAGCCTTCATCAGTTTAGAGGAAGATCAGCGCTATTATTTCAAAAACGTTGTCCCCTAACAACTTCGAAATATAGAGGAAGACCTACGCTAACTATTCTAAATGACGTGTTCTCTATGTCACTGTGACCTCAAAAAGCTGGATAAAGGTTATTGCAGCTTTAAAGATAAACGTATTTATGCAATGTTACTTGAGTTTCCTAGCTTACTGAGATCCGGTCTTTGATACTGTTCACCTCAGTGTGTGTACCTTACTGTATTTTGTTGTTTTAGTGGTCCGGGTTACCTTTTCTATTATTCATAATGCATAAAAAATGCATTTGATGCTTATCTGGTTAAATCTTATTCTGAAGCAGTCCCCAAAATGCCAGAAAATTAGGTTTGAGCTATGTGGATTACTTGGCCAAAATTTGGGAGTTATGCAAATTATAACTATGACTTTATTACTTTAATAAAGAATAAGATTAGTGAGTCAGGAAATCCAATAGCTTTCTTGATTATCACAATTGAAACGCATGTTCGAATCCCGCTCTACCACAGAGGTTCGTCTTTGTCCACAGAAGTGAATCATGTGCTTGTTACCAATATTTTGCTACTCTCTGAGCATAACGTTTTGTAATATGCAGTCACACAGTAGCTGAGAGATAAACTTGAGGGTTTATGACGCTAGAATTCGAGACTTAATCCACATGATTGACACAGCGCAGATTATATTATTTAGCTGAACGCTAAAACAAAATAAATTAATTGGAAAGAACAAATGTTTAAATGCCTTAAAATGGTAAACACTACTCTACATTGTCAATTTTGTACTTGCAAGAATGATTTTTTTTAATCGTAGACACCACTTCAAAACGCCAGACAAAACACTTTCAGTTTTTCAAATTACTTTGTATTTGACGAATGGTTAAATTTTGTCTATTTAATCTTCTTATGCTATTTGTCACTTGACAGTAGCTTAGTAGGTGCTATAATGACGAAAAATGCTTAGGATGTTGT